GGTGCCCCAGGGCTCAAAGTCTGGTCCACTCCTGTGGAACATTCTATATAATGGGATCCTAAACCTCACAAAAGACACCCCTCAAGACGGAAACCCCATATTCAAGGGTATGCTGATGATACAGTCATCCTCCTTTCATACCAAAACCAAGAAAAACTTCAAAATTATACTAATAACTTTCTGGAGGTGATCTATAATTGGAGCAAGGATAACAACTTAATAATCAACTACAACAAATGCTCAGAAATCCACTACAAACGAAGCCCACAATCAAGATAAACGGTGAGAAAATCCAAATTGTTAACAACTTAAAATATCTAGGAACCATTCTTGACCCTAAGCTTTCATGGAAGGATCATGTCTATTATTCCTATAATAAGGCCATCAGAGCCAGCCATAGCCTCAGGACCATAGCCAGAAACGGATGGGGCCTCAACAGCGTAAACAGCAAACTCATCTACAAATGTGCTATTGAACCCATCCTCACCTATTGCTACGAGGTATGGGGGTACACTGTAAATAAGGCCCACAACCGAAGAAAACTGCTCTCGGCTCAATGGAAAGCAGCAATAGCGATCACTAAGTCCTACAGACGCTCTCTTAGTGATTGCAGGGTTGATCCCGATCAACCTAGTGATCATCCAAAAATATGTATTGAACCTCATAGTTGGCAAGCTTTCCTCAAACATCAGCCCTGATACCATCCACAAAATGATCAAAAATCACAAACTGCCAGACACAATACACCCGCTGATCGACGAGATCGCAAATTGTGGCCTTGACATCAATAAGGACCAGACCTCCATCCACCCAGCAAACAGCATAACCTCCAACTTTGTCCAACATCCACCTCAAGTCCTTGAGGGGAATCAGTTTTTACATGGACGGATCCAAGGCTAAAGGTGCTGTTGGTGCAGCTGTACACCTAGTGGACCCCCAAGGAAAGCTCTTTTGGAATGCTGCTTACAAACTGTACGAAAGTTGCTCAGTGAATCAAGCTGAGTCTCTAGCAATTTGGAAAACTCTCCGATATATACACGACAATATCCTGCAGTTCACTGGGAAAAGGATTAATATAATAAGTGACAGCAAAACAGCTCTGCAACAGATAAAAAAAGGAAACTGTAAACTCCCCATCATAAGTAATTGTCTGGACACATTAAGTGCCCTCACCAGTGTGACCCACATTACTTTCTATTGGGTCAGGGGTCTCTCCGGCAATATCGGAAATGAAACGGTGGACAAACTGGCAAAGAAGGCTCATAATCTAGCCTGCACATACTCCTACACCTCCCTTCCCATCTCCTTCCTCAGTAAGGAACTTAACGCCATCACTATGTCAAGGTGGCAAAATGATTGGGACAGTAGCCACACTGGACGGAATACCCACAACCTCCTCCCAGACGTCAATAGTAGGTTCCGCCTCATTTACCTGAGTACGACTCATACTATAACGCAGATTCTCACACCTCATGGCAATTTCAAGTGCTACCTACATCGCTTCCTAAAGAAGGGAAATGGACTTTGCGACTGCCAAGTAAAGGAGAGGGATGACCCTTACCATATCATATTTACTTGTACCAAGTTCACTCAGTATCGTCAACAACTAAGAGACCTGACTACCCAAAAAGGGTACAACTGTCCCTGCCACCTCAATGCATTTCTTGAGGACAAGGACATATACACCAAATTCGTCAAATTCATCAACAACCTAAACTTAGCAGACTATCACACCCCAACTGCTACTCAAGACAATATGCCAGCTAACTCACCGAATAGGCACAGCCAGACTCCATAACTCCAGGACCCAAGGACAACAACAAAGTGCCACATTCTTCGAGGATTTAATCAGATTCCTCCATAGGGGTGTTACACCTTCCTTGTATCACTCTTCAGCACCCATCATTTGCCTTCAATCGTAATGTAAGACCAATCACGGCGCCAATTATCGTTTAGGTGTATCATCTATCAGTCATTATGTACAGTACAAACATTATAAATGTAATTTTGTAATTCATTGTTTTAATAAACAAATCCCAGCTGGCACCCCTCCTCCTCTTCCCCCTTCTTTTACCATTCCCTATTCCTTTCATCCCTCCCCTCCTTTCCTCACCCCACCTCATGACCTCTCCTTTCTTCCTTTCTCCTTATCTCTGAGTAAGGCCTAACCCCCTTTTACCAACTGTCATGTATCAGGTGAGGTTAAAACAGAATGGAAATGTCACAAATATGGCACCAAGCAAAATGCACATCCAGGACCCCAATACATCACATGCAAGTTGTCCATAACCAAAACTCTGTTACAATATTCAAAGTTTTTTGTCTATTTTAACTTATATGTTTTGAAACATGCTAATTCTGTTAACAGTGGATGACCAATAAAATATTCATGCATTTTGTTAAGAAGTTAAATCAATGGATAATAAAACATCTTTCTGGGTGTAAAAATTCTCATTTACTTACATCTTAGTGTCAGTGGCAAATAAGACAAAATGAGATTATTTGTTATTTTAACTGCACTAATTCGGCAATTCAAAATATTTAGAATTTACAAAATAAGCATATTCTACTGTATTTATAAAGGAAAATTAAAAATTTTGTAATAAATATAACAGCTAACGATATTATCAGATATTTGGAAAAAGGTAATTAGAAATAGTGAATAAAACAAAAATTTTATAAGACAGTTAAATCTTTTCAACCCAAATACTAAGAAGGATCTTGAAAAACTTTGAATTATCAAAAATTTAATTATCCATTTTTGAAAACAACTAATTTTAACCCTGTTTATAATGCTTATTATTCCAAATTCTTTGGTAATATTAGACTTTACCTTCTCTTTGAATTCTTCAACTTTTAAGATATTTTTATATACATTCCATGATTATATATCACAAAACTTCTTTACAAACAAATCATAAAACTGAAATATGTATTTCAAAACATGCTCATTCCACAAATGAATTTAATATATGTTACTTTCTCTTTTTGAATTCTGTTTTAAGTATGATATATACTAGCTTTAAATTATTGAAATTTTTACTGGAAAAATTTAACTATTTTTTAACACTGAATTTGAGTTTAATGATAATTATATAAACTATCTAAAAATGTTTATCTTTTATGAAACTTAATTATTTTAAAAGATATTTGTTTAATCTACAAATTTAGGAAAGAACAATTGTTACACAAGATTAGAAACAATCAATGAAACATAATTCTATAGCTAGACTTGAATGTTTAATAGGAAAGGATATAAGACCTTTTTGTCAAATGATGTTGATATTCTATATTTTAAATGTTATCTATCATTTATATATTAATAATTTTAAATGTCACTTGCAATTAAGGATCATTCATTAATTGTGTGTAGAGTTTTTAAGCCACTTTTGACCTCCTCCCTCTATTATGTACAATGCTCTTTTGGTAAATCCCTCTTTTTTAAATTACATATACAATAGTTTATAGACCTGATATGGAAGAAATTACTTAAAAATCCTACAAATATTGTCTAACTGATACTTTATTCACGATTTCTCATTGTATAGTACAATGATGTACTTTTTGCAATCCTTCTTTCTTAAACTGTACAGATTGTTTCACATATCTTAACTGGATGATGCATGGTACTCTGTCAGGACTCTGGAAGTTTTATAAAGTTCAAGAGCCCGTTTTTAGTAATGTACAGTGATCCTGTAACAGACTTGTCAAACAATCTATTTCCTTTCCTATGAAAGGAACAGATTGTTTGAAAAACAGACTGGTTCTTGCAACTGTGCATTTTTACAGCTCAACAAAGATTCATGAAACAAGATGTACACACAATTATTAATGAATGGCATCTTATCAATTATATTTTAATCTTCAAACAAAGTTTTTTTTTAATTTAAAATTTGAAAGTTTTTATTCTTAAACAATAAAATACTTAAGCCACTAGAGTTAATATTTTTCTCATAACATAAAATATTAATTTTGATCAAACATTATGTTTCAAGTAAAAAATAATTAATTAAAAAACTAAAAAATTAATTAATTACAGTGGTGCCTCGTATAACGTACGCCTCGAATAACGGACGCTGCGAACAACGGACTTTCTGTTTGGCCATTACGTGACTCGAGCAACGGACTGGCTGCGAACAACGGACTTTCTACAAACAAGTGCGAATGATGTTTCTACTCGTTTTCCGTTGCCAATGACAATCTGCTATTTTTATAATATATTATTATTATTAGAATATATTATTAGTATATCTGAAGTACAGAGCTCCAGTTGGGATTCGTTACAGTTACAGTACATCACCTCAGTGCAGGATGTATTTACATTTATTCGAGTGTTGTGCAAATCATGCCTTCTAAAAAAACAGAAAGGTTATTTCAATTGAAACGAAGCAAGAAATCATCAGAAGGAGTGAAAGTTGACAAAAACTTCCTTGTCAAATGGGGAGAGGTCAGGAGTTTACCAACACTCATTATCTAAACAGAGCTGAGGCTAACAAGATCAATGATCTCTACAATGATACCCTTGCCCGTCATTTCCGACAGGTGTCGAAGAAGAGAGAGAAACAGGCCACCTTGGACATGTTTTCAAGAAGCCAGCTGTCAAAAAACAAAGGATGGAACAAGAGGAGTTGACCCCGCAAGCTTCGGTAGCCTCTTCTAAATCTGACTCTGATTAAAAAACAATAAAAAGAGATTTTCTGCAATGTGTAAAAAGTCTGTATCTGTATGAATGTGTGAAAAAGTGTTCCTCCACCTCCTCACAACATCTGACTACCCGGCATAATTGGTGACTGCTCCATTTTCATTTTTTTATGGTATGGTTATTTTATGCTGCAGAACGAATTATGTTTTAACATGTATTTCTATGGGAAAATGCGTTTCGTATAACGGACTTTTCACTTAACGGACGTGCACTTGGAACGGATTAAGTACGTTATACGAGGCACCACTGTATATTTAAAATATCTCATTTAATAAATATAAAAACAAATTTACAATACCTGTTGTCTGACCTTCTTTCCATAATAAATTATTTATTTCTTCAGCATTATCTACATTTTCTTCTTTGAATATTTCAAGTTTAGAACTGATCTGCTCTTGCTGACTATTAGATTTGTTTTCATTGCAGTCACTAATGTCTGTTACCTCTGGAACTGAATCATTTATTATTGAAGATGTGTTCTTGGATTCATTATCTGTCTTATTCTGAGATTTTCTTCTAAATCTTGTTTTGAATACTGACTCCTTATTAACTGATTTATTATACCTTCTTAATCCCCAAGGTGATTTATGTTTTCTTCTTTTCCTTGCACTTCTAGTATATAATTTTGGATATCTTAAAGACTGCTTTTTAACTTTTACAGAAAGTTTATTATATTTTTTCCTCCTAGTTTTATACGGGTCACAATTTGTTTGCACCTTCAAACTTGGTTTCCACTTTCGTTTTCCATCTACAACTAATGGTTGTTCTAATGTACCTAAAGACCTAACAGGAACCCACTCATAAGATATATATCTTGGCTTATGTTTTACAACTGATTTATTTACTGACACTGGTGTTTGTTTTAAATTAATTTTATCTTCTTTTGAAGGTTCACTAATAGTTTCTTTATTTAATATATTGCTTTGCCCACCTTCTTCTGAAATCCTTTTTTTCTGAGTTATTCTTTGAGATGTCCTTACACTTGAAAGTGGGAAATTTGTACATTTTCTTCTCTTACTAGATAAAACAATTTTATCTTTTGGCTCTGTTCCTTCATGCACTTTTGATTTTCTTCTTTCTGATATATTTTCAGATTTTATATTTGATAGTGAGCTATCATTGTTTTCATGTGAGCATTTATGATTTGTGACTTTACCTAAATGGTTTTTAGCTTTTTTCAGAAGATTTTTTGCTGCATTTTCACTAGAATGTCTATGCTGATTATGTTGAAAAGAATTTAATGAATCTGTTTTGTTATTTGATTTTATAGTATTCTGAATTTTATCACATGAAACATCTGTTTTCACTATTTGTTTTGACTCACTAAATATTAAATTACTCCTTGATATGTTTTCTCGTTTCCAGAGTCCACTCAAACCATCTTTAATCATTTTATTATATGATTTCCATTGTAATGTTCTCATTCCAAATCTGGTTCTTCGTATTTCTGATTCTGTTGATAGAGAATCGTATTTTTTTGTGAAATCCCTGCGGGTTTTATTTTCTAGTTTATATTTAGAGTAAATTTTTCTAGAACTTGAAAATCCTTCAAATTCTTCCTCCTAAAAAAATATGAATTTTGAATATTACATTCTTTACTTTCAAATCTATAAATCCAGTAACAAAAAATAATTTAATAACTGAACTAACGTTTCGATCTTCTAGATCATCATTGTAAAAATATTGTAATTAATAGTAGAGACAAAGTGCTATCATTGCATGCATGGAGGGCATTGTTTGAAGTTGTCTAGTTTAATTTATTCTCTTTTTTGTTATTATTACATCTATACTAATTTTAACCTTCTTCTGTTATATGTTTATTCATTTATGTAACATACTTTTTATTTAAATTCATTTTGTATAGTATTATTTATTTTAGTTTATTTTAGGTTATCTTCTTTAGATATTTTAACTATTTTTATGTATTTATTTTTAACTGTATGTTTGATATTAATCAACTTGTATATTCAACCCTTGCATATGCAATATGTAAGAATACAATTTGAATAGTTCAATCACTTGCATTTTTAAAGTTGTTTTCTGTTCTATCTTAAGAAAACGATAAACAGTATCAAAAACATTAGTTCAGTTATTAACTACTACAGAACACATATATACACATACATGTTTTAAGAGAAATATATCTATATGTTTATATATATAAAAATGAATGTATGTCTGTCTGTATGTCTGTCTGTCTGTCCTTCATGCATTACCACACCATTTATCCAATTGCCATGAAACTTTGGGAAGTTTTTTGATACACTCCCGCGAAGGTTTCTGGCATAGTACATTTATCCTACGATAGATGGCGCGTGTTTATACTGTGTGTTCGATCGATTTCAAATTGTGAAGACCATTTCCCAGTTCAAAAAATATCTCTATATATGCATTTGTGAACTGTTATTTACGATATTTGTAATAATTTTTGTTTAATCACTTTATTTCAACTATTTTTTGCTAATTATGTATTTGCTTGAACTTTGTTAAAACCTTAACTGTATCCTGAACAACAACTGAAGTTGTAGGAGGAAATTTGCCTATTTTACTGATCTAGGTATTCCTTTTTCCAAATTTTAATATCGACTCAAAATAATTTAAAAAGACAAACTACAATAAAACAGTTTATTATCCAACTATCAGAAATTTCACAATGTGCCAAGGAAGAGAAGAAGGATCAATTAAATAATTAAAATTGTAAAGGACTAAAAAAATATATATAAAAATAGGGAATATCACACTTCTGACAATTGCTGCAAGTGTGTGGGCTAGATTTGGAGAATCTGTGCTTCTCACATGGACAACTGTATGTGGCCAGCTCACGCATCGGAAAACCTCCTGATTTATTCATGTACGCACCAGACGGAAAACCAAAAAATATCGTGTATCCACGAGCACTCCAATAAATAAATAGAACTGAAACGACACTTTGAAATGTTTTCCTGATGAAAATGAATAATAATAATAATAATGTAATAATAATAATATGTTACAATAAAAATGATAAAATGTAAATTGAGTTTTATTATAACGAGTTTGCTTGAATTTCGTTTCTTCTGAGATTGCAGCAATGAGCGACGGGTAAGCTAGTATTTTTATAAATTGAAATTTAAAATACATTTCTGACTTCAAAAATTGTTTAATATATAGTTGTATAATTTAAATTGCTTAAAACTTATAAATGTAAAATTACATCTATTTTTACTAGTTAAAAGTGGTCTATTTAGTTTTTATTTTGCCATAAACAAAATTTGTTAAATGTATTTTGAGTGTTATAACAATGAGCTCAAAACAAATTGAAAAAATACAGAAGAATGTGATGCATAAAGAAGAAAAGATAATGAGAAAATGCTTCAACAATTGAACAAAAGACAACTGTGATAAACAGAAATGAGAAGGGAGAAAAAATTAGAAATATTGAAATTCTTTAGGGATAGCTCACTCTACAGTGTACAGTGAAATTCCATTAACCCAGCAAACCAATAAATTGGCATGTCATTGGGGATCATCAATGCACTGAATAGTTCCAGAGTTAAGATTGTGTAAAAGTGCTCAAAAAGTACAGTTCTTGGAAATGGTATGGGTTTTCCTTTTAGATATGACAAATGCCAAGACAACATGATGCTGTGCATCATAAAATCAATTATCTTGTTTAAGCAGATGAAAAACTGGATAGTCAAAAATAAATCAATAAACCAAACCTTAATAAATCCAGCTATAAATTTATTGAAATAAAAATGTTTTCAATCAGATTTTACCAATCAGTTATTTTGTGCATGATTTTTCTAAAAACTTTTCCAAAAACATTAGTGCATAGGTTTGATATGAGAGCATTTCAAAGAGGAAGACAGAAACTACCACTTTAGCACAGTATGTAATGGAGCCCAAAATGTCAGTACTATGAAAAGGGGCTAGATTGATTAAAAATATACTAGTCAGATAAGCTGAGAACACTAGAGGCATGGGAATTATATAAAAGCTCACAACAGGAAAGTTGTGTAAACAATAAGGACACTAAAATTATTTCCAATGCATGGAAAGCACTTGTAGACAATCTGATAGGCTATAGGAAGATATGTTTTAAGAACGTACAGTACATACTACAGTTGTAAGTTCCATAATATTTATTATGTATTATTATAATTAATTTATAATTTTTTTTGCAATAATTTACAACGAGGTGTGAATGTAGTTGCATTTGGACATTAATGACGTTCATTGATAAGGTAATTGAAAAAACAGACGCCTAATTAATTTAAATAGAAATTTGTTGTAGAATGATTTTCCTTTCCTTTCAAAATGTGTTCTAAAAAGTTCAGCTGAAAACTTGTCATTAAAAGCTTGACACTAACCACTGAAAGAGGCCAAAAACATTTGCTTCTTATTATACCATATTGCTAGAAACAGGCTAAAGATCAGTGCAATATTTGTTTGTATGTTTAAAATATCTCAAAAATTTTTTATCAATGTTAGATTATTAAGAATACTACAGATTCTTCTCTGATATTCATAAAACTGTATAATTAATACAGCTGTTTTAAAATCTAAATGTTTTAAATTAAAAAAATGATAATCAGTATTGCTGTATGTTATATTTGGGACTTAATTCAATCCCACAGCATTTTGCATTTTGCAATGCTCTCCTCCTGGTTGTACTTTATAATAATCCTTTCAATAAACAATTAATATTATACCTAGATTGTTTAATCATATTACGGTTTACGCCAAGAAAGATAATTTCATATGATAAATACAAGTACCGTATGAATGTAACTTGGGAAAAAAGAAGTGTGTAAAGTTCTTAAAGAGCACTGAAGAGGAAATGGAAAATGAAACCAGTTCGAAATGCATATGAATTGAAAATACAATAAAAGAGTTTCTGGACCTGACTTGCTGTAAGATAGTCTACCGATAGAAATATTTTCGGATTAAAGAGACAACCATTCATTGAACGAATATACAGCTACAATTAGTAAATTCAACAATTAATATTAGTTTTAAAATTAATCTTGGAAAGGTTAAGAACCTGATGCAGAGCCCAGGTTTGAAAACATTCATTTTTTCATTACCACACTGTAAGTGGTTTTGAGTATGTCATTATCATTAATCTGCATTATCAGTAAAAGATGTCTATAATAATTATCTGAACATTAAACAAAATAAAATACACACAATGTATTTTTTAAGGTCCAATTTTGAGTGATTTTAAATAATTTTTGGGTAACTTTTGATTTCATAAGTAAGTATTACTGCACATAAGACTTCTTATTCTACTGCATTGTAAGATTGTATTTAAATTCTTACATTGCAGTAGAATAAGAAGTCTTATGTGCAGTAATACTTACTTATGAAACAAAAATAAAAAAAATGTAAAAATTAAAATTAGCTCATTTGATATGGTTGTGCAAGGTTTAAAGTACTGCTTAAAAACTTGGATTTTAGGTATAGTAATGTAAAAAATTGATGAATAGTACATGTGTATTCTTTACATTTCTGTTATACACATCCCATATATTAAGTCAATATTTCATTGTAATAGTTTTATTATTATTAGCAACAGTATTTTTATTTAAATTTTAACAGAAAAACTTAAATTAATACAATTTTTGAAAAATTGAAGAATTACATATCTTTAAGTACAAACTACCTCAAGGGCATGTATTAACCCAATGTTTCTCAAACTTCACCTTCTGGTAGACCTCTAATAAAAGAAAACTTTTGGCAGACTCTTTAGAGTAGAATTTAATTAAAAGTGGGTATAAAATATTAATAAGTGCTTCTTAAAATAATGTCTCTGTTTTAAACATTTTCATTTAATTTAAACAATTTTATATTTTTGACAAGACTATGTCTGGTTTATAAAATCATACTGCCGTTTTATGTTACCAGCATAGAGGTATGAAGGAGTACATGTCAAGAGTTGATATTTGGCACAGAGTATTAGGTGCCGAAATCATTTGCACATAAAAAAATCCAGACTTGTAAGTAGTCAGGGGACCGAGAACTGAGTCAAAATAAAATACAAAATGGCGACTCTCTTCTACAAACAGGCACCTCACCCCACCAAAGTCAGGTGGGGAGAGTACAACCCACAGTCATTCTAAAAAGTGAACTCTGACCTTAAGACTGAACACGTAGTTTCTTCTATGTTAAATAAAATTTGTAATCTAATTTTGTAAATTTGGGAGTGCTTCAGATATGCCATTAAAATGGTTTTATGTCATTACAAGTGGGTTTTTTTTAACATTATCTAGTATAGTAAAATCGTAGAACCAATAAAAATTTGACTTTATATTAGGTTGTCTTTACATCTGATAAGGTTATAATCGGGTTAAACTGTATATTGTTTGTGCAAAATAAAAAAATAATTTCAGACAATACAATATCCATGATTATTTTTTTCAAAAACAGGAAATTTTCGTTACGCATCGACAAAAATTCAACCTGGGTCGACACGCAACGGAGAAAAATTTTGAAATTGGATAGGTTAATTTCATCGAAAATGCATTGTGAATGACTTCGTGGTAGTGGCCAGCAAAGTTTGAACAATTGCACCCAAAAG